AAACGACATATTGTATGTGAAAAAAAAAAAAAAAAAAAAAAGACTAAAATCCAGAAGAGCTGTAAAGCAAAAGGGCTTGCTAAACAGCTATGGTTATTTGTTCTGGCCTTTGCCTGTAATAAACTTGGTTTGATTTGAATCCAGCATCAAATTTGGGACTTTGGTCTGACTCCCAATTTCCAAGCCCATTCTAACCTTCAGATAATGTATCGTTCACAGGTAGTCCTCGACCTACGACCAACATTTCCATTGCTAAGTGAGACATTTAATTGAACGTTGCCCCGTTTCTATTGCCTTTCTGCAGTTTGTTAACCCGGTTGTTAAGTGAATCCGCTGACTCAGCTCGTCAGGAGGCCGCAAAAGGGGAATCGCCTGACCCCGGGACACTGCCACCGTCATAAGTATGAGTTGGTTGCCACACATCTCACTTTTGAACCATGGGACTGTGGGGATGCTTGCAATGATTTTAAGTGTGAAAAACGGCCGTAGGTTTTTTCCCCCCATCGTAACTTTTGAGTGGTCGCTAAATGAACTGTAGCATTGAGGGCGACCTGCATCGATTGGGCAATTCAGCCTGAAAAAAAATCTAAATGAGATGTTTTAACCCCTCAAAGGTGTCTCTAATCATTGTGGAAGTTCTGGAGATGATCACCAAAGAGCTAAATTTGGAGGAAAACCAACCAGAAAACTTCTCACTTAAGGACGTAAGTTTGTCCCCAGGAGAAGCGGAGACCAAGGAACACCCAGGGAGGGGGCAGGGAGATGTGACACTGTCAATCGTGGTTTAAGGAGGCCCGGTCAGTGTGATGGGCAAACCCAGCGTCATTCATTCAACAAGCCATGGCTGGCTAGGTGAAGCCGAGGCAGCCCTGGAAGCAGCACCTGGTCTCCTGGATCCACTGGTGGAAAGCGTTGGCGTGCTGAGCGAACTCCTGGCGCAGTTTATCGTTCTCCTCCTGCCGACGTTGCTCCTTCTGAAGCTCCAATTCGCGTTCCTGGAAAAAGGAGAACAAAGCCACGGGGGTCAACCTTAACGTTTCTGAAGAAAAAGCGGAAGGAAGGAAGGAAGGAAGGAAGGAAGGAAGGAAGGAGAAAGGTAGGAAGGAAGAAAAGGAAGGTAGGAAGGAAGAAAAGGAAGGTAGGAAGGAAGAAGAGGAAGGATGGAAGGAAGGAACAAAAGAAGGAAGGAAGGAGAAAGGTAGGAAGGAGAGGAAGGAGAAAGGAAGGTAGGAAGGAAGAAGAGGAAGGAAGGAGGAAGGAGGGAAGGAAGGAAGGAAGGAAGGAAGGAGAAAGGTAGGAAGGAAGGAAAGGAAGGAAGGAGAAAAATAGGTATGAAGGAAGGAAGGAAGGAAGGAAGGAAGGAAGGAAGGAAGGAAGGAGAAAGGTAGGAAGGAAGGAAGGAGAAAGGAAGGAAGGTAGGTAGGAAGGAAGGAAAGGAGATAAATAGGTACTAAGGAAGGAAGGAAGGAGAGAGGAAGGAAGGAGGGGAAGGACAGAAAGGAAGGAATGAGGAAGGAAGGAAAGAAGGAAGGAAGGAAAAACATAGGTATGTAGGAAGGAAGAAGAGGAAGGAAAGAGAGGGAGGAAAGAAAGAAAGGAAAGAAGGAAAGAGAGGAAGGAAAGAAGAATGACCTTGATGATTTTCTGCAGGTTCCTCCAGGTCTCCTCCAGCGCTTCCATCGTGAACCAGGTGTAAGGGTTGGAGGCCACGCGGAAGCTCTTGATCTGGCGGTCCAGCTCGGCCAGCTGGTTGAAGTCAGCCTGGGCCGAGCTGAGTGAGGACCGGAAGGCGTCGTGAGCTTCTCGCAGCGCCTTGATCTCTTCCAGCGAGTTGCAGCGCACGGGGTCGGTCAGGTCCTCTTCTGCATTCTCAAACCAGCTGTTAAAGGCCGAAGCTTTCTTAGCGAAGGTCAGGAAGAGGTCCTCCACCTAGAGAAGAGGACAACCCTCAAACATCTACCAAGGATCAGAAGGGAGCTGTTTTGATCCAGCTCCCCAAACACAACCACTATTCATCTCCGACCCTGCCTTTTATCCCCAGAGCTAGGGTGAGGCTTTGCTAGCAGCAATGACTCTTCCGTCCCAAGGACCGGCCCATAGATTTCCACTGTTCTCCTCTCCTCTGCTTTCTGTACATCCGCATACCAGGCACTGAACCCTCTCTCCCCCTCTCCCTCCCTCTCTCTCTATCTCTTTAAAAATGAGGGAGAAGCAGAATACCCAATGATCAAAAGTTTATTTAAACACGGAAACAATTCCCTGATTTTATTCGATAATCTGGGTTCTAAATCCTCTCAATTAAGATACAGAAAAAGAGATTAAGATTAAAGAGAGTTCTGACCAGGGGGAGATCAAAAATTTTAGCAACCGGTTCTCTGCTCAGTTGCTGGGTGGACGTGGCCATGGTGGAGGTGGCCCTACAGCAAGGGGGGCTGCGTTTTCTCCTTCCCCAGGCCCCGGAGGCTTTCCTCAAGCCTCCGGGAGGGTGAAAATGGCCTCCCCCAGACTTCCAGAAGGCCCATTTTTCCTTCTCCCAGAGCCATCGTACAGGACCTGCACTTACTTGGCATCCAAAATGGGCCGTGTGGAGACTCCTGGGAGGGGAGGGATGGGCGTGGCCAGCCAGGCCTTGCAACTACGGGTTCGGCGAACCAGATGTAAAATTATCAGGTGGTTCACCTGGAACAGGTCCGAAATCGCTGAATCCCACCCCTGGTTCTGACCCACGCAATCCTCCAAGATACACATACGTGTGCTGTAACATAGGCAGGATTTAAGTAGCTGAACTCAAGGGAAGGGAGGGGAGGGCTTCCTTCTGATGAATCCAAAATAATTCATGTTATTAATTTCCGTATTTTTACACAATTAAAAGGATGTCGTTGTGAGTATGTGGCCAGAAAACGGGAGATGGAGGTTTAGAATTATCCTGAGGCTTTGAAGCAGTAAAAGCTCTGGAGACAAAAACATATGAAGGACAGTTGCAGGATTTGAGTCTGGCCCGTCTAGAGAAAAAGAAGGGCTATGAGGGACAGGATAGCAGTCTTCCTGTACTTGAGGGGCTGTCCCAAAGAAGAGGAGAGGTCAACCTATTCTCCAAAGCACCAGAAGGCAGGACGAGGAGCAATGGAGGGAAGCTAACCAAGGAGAGAAGCAGCCTGGAATTAAAGAGAAACTTTCTAGCAGGGCGGACAATTAACCAGTGGAGCAGCCTCCAGAAGGTTTGAAGGTTTTGAAGAAGAAACTGGACAGCCCCTTTGACTGGAATGGTGTAGGGTCTCCTGCTTGAGGAGAGGGTTGGGCTAGAAGACCTCCAGGGTCCCTTCCAATACTATTCTGATGGATTAATCTCGAAGCCCTTAAATTTGGCTGCCCCGAGTCTTTTGCCCACTCTTCCCTGGCTAACGGGGATTTCTTAAGACTTCTTGGGCAAAGCCGAATAGCCGATTTGGGAGGTGCCTGATGCCTTTTCTCACCTTTCTGAAATGTTCTTGGGCCTCCAAGAGTTTTTTCTTCCGGGCAGCAGAGTTAGCCAGCAGCTGGTTCCAGCGTTTCATGAGCGAGGCGTGGCGAGCCTCGATGGCCTTCGACTGGACATGCTTGGCGGCCAGCAGCTGGTCCTTCAGGGCGGTGATGTTGGCGATGCCTTCCTGGGCAAAGGCGTGGAGCCCAGCGTCAAAGGTTTCCTGCAAGGAGAGTTGGAAGGTTAAGACTTTGGAGTACGGAAAGAAACAGGGTTCCAAATAGCATCCAAAAGTAAATCAGAGTCCAATATTGTTAAAATTCCAATTTATGAAGACAGCCATGTTGGCACATCTGGGAAAACCCGAATCTGAAAGCTTCCCGGTTTCCCACCCAGTTGGAAGTTCAAGATCCTGCCCCCACACCCATAAGTCCATCCCAAGGTCCAATCTTCCACTGCCATACTGGCAGCTTCCACCCATCCAGTTCCGGTCAGGTGCAGAGGTGCAGAGACAAAGGATGACCTTGGCTTTCTAGAAAGAATGTTGTTATAGCTACATAGTATCTAACCCCTCCCATTTTCCCACAATAGAAAAGGCATAGTAGAATAATAGAAAGTGTGGCAGGCCAAAGGCCCAAAGGAAAAGAAGGCTGCAGTCCTTCTTGCTTGTTACGGCCTTCAGCAAAAATATCCCCTTCCCTTCGCGGCCACGCACCTGTTTGGTGAGAAGAGTCTGCACGGAGGAGAGGTCTCGCCCGTAGTCATCTGTCTTGAGGCTGTTTTCTTTCTCACCTAGGAGATTTGTCCTTGGTTTATTTGTATCCCTCTTTTATTTTATTTTTTACATAAAAAATTCAAGGGGGTGAACATCTCCAGCACATCTTCCTCCACCTAGTTTCTCCACAACAGCCAGCTGGTGACGTGGATTAGGCTGAGAGAGGGGGACTGGCCCAAAGTTGCCCTTTTATGATTGAGGTGAGACTAGAATTCACCATCGCCTGGCGATTGGGACCATGGCTAAGGTGAGA